GAAAACAACACTCTGAAGCACCTCCTAGGGACCCGAAGTCCCCGCCTCAGAGCTTCTGCTTTTCCTCAGGTACTACCTATCTTTCCTGATTGCCGGTCCCCAAAACAAGGGGTCCAACTCCCACGACGGGCACATCTCCCTTCTTCCATCCCGTCTTGTCTTGCCCGCTCCCCCACGCTGTGTGTCTGGAGTCTGTCTCTCCTCCCGGGTCCCTCAGCTCTCTTCCCTGTCCTCCCCCATCTCTGCCGGTCTCCTCTCTTCCTCCTTCTGGTCTATGCCCGTCCTTCCACTGCCCTGGCTCTCTGGCCAGGTCTCATGCCTCTGTGTCCCCTTCTCTCTCTCATCTCTGTCTCTACCATGTTTGTCTCCCCTCCAGCCTCCACATCTTCCCCAGTCGTTCCAAGGACATCTGTGTCCCTGATTAGTCCGACTAATGCCCTGAGAGCTGGGGGCTGGGAGGAAGCTGTGGAAAGAGAAATGGGGTTGACCAGTAGGAGGTGGCTCCCCACGCCCCAAAGCTATTTATATCTCTCACTGCCTGGGATCCACCCTTCTCCCTCTTCCATGGACCTCCTCCCTAGCGGTCAATAAATGGTAGCTATGATTTTTGGATTATGATTACTAAACAACGACGCTTCCTGGAGTGTCCAAATGCCATCCTGTGAGCTCACCCAAGGAGGCATGATTTTTATTCTTTTTCATACTGTATCTGTCCACCATCCAGGCTTGGGTAATTTCAAGTTCTGAGTGTTTGTTACATGTTCATGTAAACAAATTTGCAAACAAAAGCAGAAAAAAAAGCAGTAATTATTTATTATGAGGACTAAAGTCACCCAGCACTCACAGTGTGCTAGGCATTGCTCTAAGTGCTTGCCATGTACTAACTCAGTTAACTCCCCGAACAGCAAACACCCCAATGCTAGTCTCATTCCCACAGGAGACACAGATGCCTTCACTAGGCCAGCAGCCACGGACCTGGAGGGCCCATTATATCCTACTTGGGGCTAGAGACGTTCAACTGAGGCAGGGAGATCCCAAAGAAACAAAAGAGGAGCTGGGAGTGTAGAATGCTTATCCTGCATGAATGAAGCCTGGGTTCAATCCCCAGCATGGCAAAATGAAACGCAACTAAACATCCAAACAATGCTCAGTGCCAGGCCTCAAATCCTGTACTTGACAAGCATTATCCCCTTTTACTGTAGTTGAGGAATAGAACCCTGTGTCTTACACATGCTAGGCAAGTGCTTCATCAATGAGCTACATCCCCAGACGTTTTAATTTTTTTTTTTTTTTTTTGTCTTTTTGAGAAGGGTCTCGCTATGCAGTTCAGGCTGGCCTTGAGCTCACTTTGTAGGCCAGGCTAGTTCTGAACTTGCAATGATCCTCCTGCCTCAGCCTCCCAAGTGCTGGGATTATAGGCATGTGCCACCATGCCCGGTTTAAATTTTATTTTGTGAGAAGGTCTTGCTAAGTTTCCCAGGCTGGCCTCAAGCTTTTTTTTTGGTACCGGGACTCAAACTCAGGATACTGCGCTTGCCAAGCAGGTGCTTGTGCTGCTGAGCTATGTCCCCGGCCCTTGGCCTCAAACTTTCAATCCTCCTACCTTAGCCTCCCCGGTAGTTAGGATTACAGGTGTGTGCCACTGTGTCCAGCTAAGCATCATCTCCTTACTCCTCATCACAATAATATAAAATAATAGCTAACACTTAAGGTGTATTTTGTACGTGTCACGCACACCATTATTACTTTACAGGTGTTACTTCATTTAATTCTCTCAATGACTTCATTAGACTAGTATTCTTCTGGTTTGTTTTATTTTTCTTATTTTCTTGGGCTCCTATTATTCTTATCTCCATTCTATAGAGTTGGAAATTGAAGCATAGCTCATAAGAGAGGAGGATTCAGACCCTGAGAGCCTGGCTCTATACTTTATGCATGTAACAGACTGTGTTGCTTCATAGTTTGGGGTCCTGGCCCCTCATTTCATCCTTAAAAGACTAAAATCTGAATCAAACCTCTTAAGACACATCAGGTCTCCTTATCGTGCCTGGAAAATTCAGGGGTATGTGGCCGCTGTGGCCTAGGCAGGAACACGGGTTGGACTTAGGTGTTCCACAGAGGCCTGGGGCTCAGAGAGGGCCGGGAGCTGGGTGAGAGGGAGTGTGTAGGGTATGAAAGGTGAGGGAGTCCTACAAAGGCTGTCAGGGGAGTTACAGCAAAGCCGTCAGAGAAGATGGATCTGTAGCAACCTATAAAGCCCGAGGTCCAGCAGAGGGAGCAATGTGAGCAAGAGGCTCTGAGGGGTACAGACAGGTTGAAGGTCCAGGGATGCAGTGAGGGGTCCTGGAGCAAAGTGAGTGCATGTGGGTGTCTGGGATTCATGCGGGGCTGAGGGTCTATAAGCTATTGAGCAGATGACTCAGGGTCTCTAAGAACCTTTGGGATCCTTGGAGATCCTCAAATGAGCCCCTAGAATATATACAGCCCCAGATTCTATTTGACACATGCTGAGTCTAAAGAATACCGGCATCAAATGGATCATGATTCTACAGAGAAAGTAGCCTGCCTATGGAGCATCTGGAGACTAAAATGGGGAGCTGAATTCTATAGAGGTGTGTGATAGGTCTCAAGATCTACAATTCTACAGAGGTGCGTTCAGTCCTGGGGTTGGGCCCCTGTAGGCCCTGAACTCTAGAGCTGTGAAAATTCCACGTTATAAGAGGCCAGATCCCTACGGAAGGCTAGCCAGAACCTGGAGGATCTGTGAGATCTTCTAACCTATGTGGAAAGTGGCGGGTCTTCACGTACCCCAAATCTTATATGAGACGTGGCGGGTCTACCCCTGCCCCAGGTCCTACAGTGGAAGTGGCGCTGGGCACAGCCGGAGATGACTTGCAGAGTCAGGGTCTAACTGTCCGCCGGGGGCCGCGTCCCTCACCTGCTCCGGTGGGAAGAGAAGCCACTGCAGCCGCCAGAATCGAAGCCTCCGCGCGCGGGCTCCAGACTTCCCCACCCCCGCCGCCGAGTCTCTCTAGCAGCCTCACAGGCCACCTTCGCACCCAGCTCCACTCCTCCCGCTCGCCGCTCTAGCAGGGATCGTGCTAGGCTCCTACTCTGGCGACTCTACTCCTCCTCTGGCCTCTCTAGCGCTCTGTTCCGCCACGCTGGCCAGATAGAGCCGCTCTGGCCTGTCTAGGAGGGCTGGCGTTTCCGCATCTCTACTGCCTCTGTCACTCTTCCGGGCCCCGCCCCCCCTCCCCGGCCGGCAGTGCAGAGGGTTCCATCCCAGATCTCCAAATTACAACCCCAAGTCTCCTGATCTTGAGCTAAACCTCGCCGCCCCATTTGCCTCTTCAACTTGGGGACCAGCTGAATCCCCAAAGCTCGTACATCAGTTTCCTCTGCAGCCCTGTCATCCCCTTCCACTCGAGCAGGAGAGCACAGTCTTGGGCTTGAGCATAGCTTGCCCTCTGACATCAAAGTAACTTCCAAACAAAAACCAAAACAAAAAAAGCGATTACCTCTCTGCAGCCTCAGTCTTCCTAGCTCTCTTTCCTACACCCACTTTCCAGGGTACAGCTAATGACCCAGAGAACAGCTTCCCTAAAACGCTGTAAGCCGGGAGTGGTGGCTCACGCCTGTAAACCTAGCACTGAAGAGGCTGAGGCAGGAGAATCACAGAAAGTTCGAGGTTAGCCTGGGCTATATACTGAGTTCAGGACGAGATAAGGCACAAACACACAAACCCCTTCAAAAGCTCTCTGAAACTCAGGTCTCCAGCGGCTCAGGGCGTTATTGTTTTTCTTTTTAAGTAGCCATAAAATACGTAAGGTTGGAGGGCAGGGCTGAGCGGGAAGCACCTGCGAGTTCAAATACCAACTGCACACTGTCTCACAAAGTGTGTCCGTGCCGCGAGTCATTTTAGGCTCGCTGGTCCTCAGTTTCCCCACCCGTACAATGGGTGTGAGCCTCCATCCTCCCTCGAACCATTGAGAGGCTTGACCCCGGCCTCGCACCGTTCGTCTCCACCTGCTAGGTACTTGGCAAATGTGAGTCACTTCTTTGCCCCCTGGACAGACCGGGGAACTGAGGCCCGCGCGGGGGCGGTCGCTGGCTGCGGGCCCCAGGAGGCCCCTCGGCGGCGCGCAGCGTCCCGGGTCCCTCCCCGCTCCCCCCGCCGCCGAGGGGAGGAGGCCGGGCGGGGCCAGGGGCCGCGTACCTGGTGTCGGCGCGGGGAGGTGGCCGGCGGGGCGCCCGAGGTCGGGCTCGGCGATCCCGGCCCTGTGTCCCGGCTCCCGCTTCCTGGCTCGGCGGGGCAGGAAGTTGGGGCGTTTTTCCGGAGGCCCCCGCCTCGGCGCCCCTCCCCGCTTCCTGCCCGCGCCCCGCGCCCGCCCGGCACCTCCGCTTCCTTCCCCTTCTCGCCGCCCGCCGGCTCCTCCTTTCCCTGGGGTACAGGCCCCGCCCGGCCCTGCCGGCTCCCCGGCTTTATCCGTCCGTCTGTCGGCGCGCCGGGCGCTGGCTCCCCGCCCGGGCGGCTTGGCCCCGCGAGACCCGCCGTGCGCCCCGCCGCGCGCCGCAGCCTCCCCGCGCACCCTCTTCCCTCGGGGTCCCTGTCTCTCATGCCCTTCCTCGGTGGGGTTTTTCCCTGCCCAGCCTCCGCGGCTCTTCCTCCTCTCCCTCTCTCCCTCACAGCCCCTCTGCGCCCTCGTGCTTTTGCATCCCGATCTGGAGCTCCGCCTCTTACCCAACTGTTGCTTTTCCTCAGTCTCCAGGGTCAGCCTCCGCGGACCCTTCCCTCCTCCGTCTGTCTCCACAGTCCTGTCTGTCCTGTGGGTCCCCTGTGGGTGCCGACCCGCTGTCCTTGCACTTGCTTCCTCTCCTGCACTGTCTCTCAGGATCGCTGCCGCTCTCCGTCCTATGCCAATGACTTGTCACTGTTTCTCTCTGTCACTGTCTCTGCCCCGTGCCCAAGTTAGAGCGACAGACTTCAAATCCACCTCTGCAGGTCAACCCGTGGGGGATTTTACTACCATCCCACAACATAGTCCCGTTTCCAGAGCTGAATACATGTAAAAATTTTGGTAATGTCAGGTTTGATGGCGCATGTCTGAAATCCCAGCATTTGGGAGGCTGAGGCAGGAGAATCTCTGTGAGTTCAAAGGAAGGCTGGGCTAAATAGTGAATCCAAGGCCAGCCTGAACTACATATCAAAACCATATCTCAAAAAAATCTCTTTGCTTAGAGACAGGGTGTGGGTGGGGCAGTGTAGAGGAGCCCTTTTACTGGGGTGGGGACTTACCCAAGGGACTTCCTGTTTTTTTAGGGGGTGGAAGAGACTAAGACTGGCTATTTGATTCCAGGTGTGGGGAGTGGGTAGCGGAGGGGTTGGGCACACAATCCTGGGTCTGGAGGAGGAGGAGGCCTAGGCTGGGTCCCAGGGAAGGAGGGAGTCATCCTCATGAGATCCATGACTCCCGCCAAGGTCTGCAGTTGGGAAGGATTTATTATCACTAAGTGGCCGTGACAGATGGGGGGGCGGTGACACTAAGAGGCTGCTGCAATCAGCTCCCCTAGAGGCAGCGATTAAGGCCTCATTACCCACTGGGGAGGGAGCCTGGGAAAGAGCAGGGGGCGGACTGGCTTAGGTGGGGGTTGGGACGCTGGGGGAGGAGGAAAAAGGATGGTCCCGGAGAGTAAGAAGAGGCACTGGGGGGTGGGGGCACACAGCAGGCAGGGGCTTCCCGATGTGTGCGGGTGGTAGTCATGGCTTCTCCAGCTGCACGTCTCCAATGTGGAGGTTGCCCACATCCTGGTAGGTGCCCTGGAGGCCCCGGGAGATGTCTTCGTACATGGAGCAGTCATCGAGGTTCAGGCCCTGGGGGGACACGGCCGTGGACATCAGTACCCCGAAGCCTGGGGTCCCTGCCCCTCCTGCCATCAACCCCAAGGGGGGATCCGAAGTGCACCTGCCCCTACCCTGCCCATTCCCAACCTCTGCTCACCTCATAAAGATTTTCATCTTCATAGTCATCCTGGGGGTCCACCCCAAACTTCTCGTTCTGCCAGCGCTTCTGCGGAGGGTGAGAAGGAGGAACAAACAGCTTTTCAGACGCTCCTGGATGCCTCTAGGAGGTGTTTTTCCACAAGGGTAAGGGACATACCACATACCCAGTATGTGGCAGGTCTCTCTGGGTCCAGAGCTACTGTCATTTTGGCTGTCTGCACTGCCTTATTATTCTCCATGAATAACAACAATAGTAGTAAATAATAACAGTTGCCCTGTGGCCCAAGCAGTCACAGGAGCAGATGACTCCAGGAGGACCCCTAACCCCCTTCTTCCTGGGCCTCTGCTGCATCTTTGGGGACAGCGCTCTGAGGTGTGTGCAGGGCGACAGTGGGGATGCCGGGAAGAGGAAGCAGTGAGGACAGCCCTTGGGCCAGCACCGTTTAAAGCCCTTTCATTGCATTGGCTCATCTAACTGGCACAGTCCCTGAGAGGTGGGTACATTCCGGTTCCCAAGCTTTGGAGGGGCACCCTTGGGAACGGCAGCCCAGGCCCTCGCGTCCTGACTCTGGGTCCCTTGGGGGCTCACCCTGAACAACAGCAGCGTCCCAGGCACCACTGCACAGAACAGCAGGATGATCCCCTCCGCTGTGATGATGCGATTCTTGGTCCCCTCTCCCATGGCCAGGAAGGGTCTGGGGGGTGGCTCTGTGAGGAGCGGGTACTGCTCACAGGCCTGCACCTCCTGCCCTCCCAACATCCCCATCCCCCATCCCCCTGGAAGGCCCCCTCCCGCAGTGGCCCATGGGAAGACACTCAACAGAAGAGCAAAGCCTGCTCCAGCTGGAGCAGGGGAACTGGGGCCAGGGTCCGAGCCACTCACCGCGCACTCGGAGGTAGGTGCCACAGGAGTGCATGAACGTCCCTTGGTCTTCCACTCGGCAGCGGTATATGCCCCCGTGGCTCTTGTTCACATTCGGGATGACCCACTCCCCCTTGCGGCCTTTGCCCTCGCCCAGGAGCACAGGGCTCCACGTATAGTTGCCCTGGAGGATGTGCCACCAAGTGACGGTGGAGTTGCTGCTGCCGTTGTTCAGGCACTCGAGGTGGGCCTCGCTCCCGGTGCTCACTGTCACTGACGTCGGGCCCTTGTGCACCAACAGGGTGGCCTGGCACCCAGGTCCTGTTGAGAAGCAGCCAGTGGGTCAGGGAGCGGAGACAGTACCGCCGTCCTCAGCCCTGGCTCCTGCAGCTGTGGTGCTCCCCGGGAGTGGCCAGGGAGTGATGTCACTCCTTGTGTGTAGGGTGTCAACATCCAGGAGGAGGAGAGTATGGTGGGTAAGTCCGTCTAAAGCCCTGGCCTCTTCTGCATGTCAACTGTGTCCTGTGCGTGCTGGTTTTTGGATGTCTGGTGTCCTGGCGCTGAAGTGCTCCTGCCCAGAGCTCCTCCTGAGTCAGCTCAGGCAGCCGTCCTCCTGCAGCCCACTGTGGTCTCCCAGCGTCAGGTCAGCTCTGCACAGGGCACTTTACCTTGTGTCACCAACCCTAAACCCTGAGAACTAGGGTCCCTTGTACAGCAAGGCGGCTGAGGCCCAGGGAGGGAAGTGGCCCTAGAGCACAAACTCCCAGCTCCACGGCCTGTCCCTGCCTGGGCGCTGCAGAGCAGTCTTCGGGCCTGAGGCGTCCCTCGTTCTCTGTAGCAGCCCGGGGCAACCCTCATTCTTTGTATCCTTCCTGTGGCAGCCTGGGGGTCAGAGGTGGGTCCAGTCCTCCTCGGGCTGGGCCACAGCATAGGGAGGGGTTACAGCTGGAAGCAGACAGGGGTGTTTCTGAGGGAGACAGCGGTTGTCTGGGGCCAGTGCTGTCCGCTCGGGGCTCCTCTGGGAAGCCTCAGCTCTCAGCCTCCGCGGGCCCGTCCACATGGCCCGCTCCGGGCTTCTGCAGGGAGGTCAGGAAGTGAGTAGGAGCAGATGGGAGCCAGGCTGAGTACCTCATGCTCACAGGCTTAAGGCAGACATAAGCTCTGATCGCTGTTGCTAGTGTCACTTGGGTGAGTGACCTTCCTGTTTGAACTTCGGGCGCAGTCCCAGTCCCAGTCAGCTGGCCTTGGGTGGGGGCAGGGAAGGGCGGGCGAGGAGGAAGGGGCTAATGAGGCACACCCTGTTCCCCTTACAGGGAAGGGGCTTACACAGGGGGCCCCTGAGATTTAAGGCAGAGAAGGGGACAGCTTTTTTTTCTCCTCTGATGCTCAGTACCACCCCCAAGTCCCCTTCCTGTCCCCAGCCCTGGTGCTCAGTGAGAACCACCTTAGTTCCTTATTTTGACTTGTGTGGACAAAGGTTGGGTGGGGGATGGAACTCTCAATCTTGCCTCCCTTCGTGGTGCAGCGGACACCCCGTAGGATTTGCCGAGGCTCCTTCAGCTTTATCTTGGCACAGCTGGGGACATACTGGGTCAGTCAAACCCCCAATCCCCAAACTGACCCATGTGTGTGCTTTCCACATGGGCCGCCCCCAGCGCGACCTTCTTCTGACTCCTCTCCCTGACAGCACCCTTCCTCTGCCTGTGCCCTCCTTCCAGCCTCCCCAGGCCCCAGCACCTGCCCTTTGGCCACATACCCAAACAAGCTGCAGACAGCAAGAAGAGGAGGACGGTGGCCGGCGGCGGAGCTGGGAAAATTCCTGTACCCCCAGGCATCTTCTTTCAGTAGGTTGATGAATCTAGGTTGCAGCGGTCCTGGGGTATCGGATTCCACCCCAAACCCCACCCCACTTCCTGCCCAGCCTTGCCGGAGATAGGCTCCAGTAGCCTTCACTGCTGGGCCCTTTGGGCAGCCCCTGCCTGTGTGCTTTAGGCCAGTCGAGGGGAACTGCTCCTGCACCTGTGGCAGCCACAGTTCCCCTGAGGCACAGCTACTTGAGGGGGAGAAGAGGCTGATTCAAGCCCCACCCCTGCCCCTCATCACCAAGTCTTGGGAAAGAAGCCTGGGGGAGCCGGAGTTCCAGGTGCGGTGGCCTGCTGCAGGCAGGTCTGTGTGGGTTGGTCCTGAGATCAGATTGTGCCCTTCCTGGACCTTAGGCAAAACATCCCCTCTGAGCTTCTGTTCTTAGCTTGTTGGGGCGGGGCGGGACTTAGAGGGGTTGCAGAGGCGCAGCGCGGAACACAGGGCCTGGTCCGTGGCAGGTGCTCTGTGCTGGGAAGGAATAAACAGTGCAGGCAGATCCTCTGAGAACTGCCTGTGTGACTAGGCAGCACCTTTTGTCCTCAGCCCTGTTTGTTTGTTTGTTTGTTTTTTGGTGGCCCTGGGCAATCAAACTCAGGACTGCAGGTATACTATGCAAGTCCTCTACTGTTGTGCTACCCTCTCAGCCATTTATTTTTAATATTCTGACTTTGAGACGATTTCTCTGAATTGCCCAGGCTGGCCTCAAACTTGTGAGCTTCCCCATGATCAGCTCTTTACTAGAGTTCTTTCATGTTGACCTCCCATGTCAGGCAGCCCCTCCTCTTTTTTTTTTTAAATTTTTAAAAAACTTTTTTGGTGTTTTTCTGGTACTGGGAATTGAACTCACGACCTCGCGCTTGCCAGGCAGGCACTGTGCCACTGAGCTAAATCCCCAGCCCCAATGTATAATCTGAGATCAAATTTTTTTTTTTTTTGTGGTACCGGGGATCAAACTCACGACCTTGCGCTTGCCAGGCAGGCACTTATGGCACTGAGCTAAATCCCCAGCAGCCCCCTTTTTAGAGGAAGAAACCTGGGAGTCAGCTTGTCACTTGCCCGGTGCCTTACAGTCTGTGAGTGGGGGAGCCGTGTGCAGCAAGGTTTCATGGTCACCCCCTTTTTTGTTTTTCCAATATTGGGGATTGAATTCAGGGCTTTCACAATGAAGTACAACCTTGGCCTTTTATTATTTTTATTTTTATTTTGTTTTTGTTTTTTTTCCAGTACCGGGAATCGAACTCACGACCTTGCGCTTGCCAGGCAGGCTCTGTGCCGCTGAGCTAAATCCCCAGCCCCATTATTTTGATTTTGAGACAAGTTTTCGCTAAGTTGCTCAGTTGCCCAGGCTGAGTTTGAATGTGTGAATTTCCTCCCTCAGCCTCCCAGTGTGCTAGGCTCACAGGTCTGTGACACCATTGGAAGTCAGTTCTGTGTGGTTCCCAGGTTCCTTTTTGCCAGTCATTCTTGGCCAGGGAAATTAGGTCGGAGTGGGGAGAGCGGAGATGTTGAGTAGTTAGGGAACCTTCGCACACACTTGCAGATAGATGGGCAGGGAAAAAACTCAACATGGGGGAGATTTTTGGTGGGAAAAATTGAGCAACAAACCAACAATCCATTTATAGGAGATAGAAGTAACAACTGTGGGACAGTCAGGCAACAGAATACCATAGAGTAGAAGAAGGGTCAGTATAGCCGCATCTCAGGAACATGAGGTCAAGAAAAAACAGTGTAGCACAGTGTAGTTGATTTGTTTTGAAAAGGCAAAAAACCCCGGGCATCATAGCATACGCCTGTAATCCTAGCACTGGGGAGGCTGAGGCAAGATTGGTGTGAGTTCCAGGCCAGCCTGAACTACACAGTGAGACCCTGTCCCCCCACGCCGAAGGCAAAATGCTGTGTGATGGTTCACTACATGTTTGTGGTAGAGCTAGAAACCCATATCGTTATACATGCCTTGTTCCTGAGGTGGGGATTCAGTTCTGGGGAAGTGAGGAGGGCTGGGACTGAGGAAGGGCATACAAATAGCTCTGCCTGTTTTGGTTTGCCTGTCTGTGTCTGTATCTATCTATGATCTTTCTATCATCTATCCTATTTACCTATTTTTGCAGTATTCAGGATTAAACCCATGGATGTTCTACCACTGAGTCTCCAGCACTTTTGAGACAGGCCTTATTAACTTGCCCAGGCAGGACTTAAGCTTGTGAACTTCCTGCCTCAGCCTCCCTCAATGGTGGGATTCTAGGCATGTGCCACCATACTTAATTTTGTTTTTTGAGACAGGGTCCTCCTAAATTTCCTAGGGCTAGCTTTGAACTTGTGGATCTTTTACCTCAGCCTTCCCCCACCCCCCAAAAAAGCTGGGATTATAGGCATGTGCCACCAAATTTAATCTTTTTTTTTTTTCTTTTCCTGGTGCTGGGGCTTAAACCCAGGGCTTGTGCACTGAGCTATATCAATCTTGCAAAACTCCTGCCTCAGCCTCCCACAGTGCTGGGATTAGGTATTTGCCACACCTGGATAATTTTTTTTTTTTGGTACTGGGAATCAAACTTAGGACCTTGCACTTACCAGGCAGGTGCTGTACCACTGAGCTATAGCCCCACCGTTGTAATTACTTCTTAAACTAGTGAGTTTCTGAGTTTTTGTTATACTGTTATGAATACTGTTTTGCATGCCTGAAATATTTAGTAATTTAAAAATAGTTTTAACTGTCACCCACATGGAAAAGCATAGGCCAGTGGTGGCAAACGTATGGCACATGTGCCCCAGCAGGCAGTTTGTATCATTGGTGGAAGTTCTAAAAGGTTTGTCTATGCCTACTGGCATAGGTTTTGAGAATCTGAGATTCAGCGCGCGCGCGCACACAGTTTCTTCTCCCGTAACGTGAGTATAACCAACTCCCTCCAAGTTGCACACAAAGTGCACTAACTCAGTTCCTAGGACAGGGTTCTGACCCTCGGGGCCCCCTTCCTCCAGAGACTCAGGTGTTTAGGCACAGACTCAGGCACTGGTCTGTGCCTCAGTTCCCCCCTAGGAATAAGTATGGATCCTCTGCTGGAAGCCCCTAGGAATCCAGGTTCTTTCAGCTGATCAAACTGCTTCTCATGCCCTCGACCGCCCCCCAATGGCTGAAGGGGTGAAGGCTCATGATTCCTGCTTACCCCAGGGTCCAGGCAGTCTGAGCACCTCACTTACCCAGGATCCCGGATGTCCTGTCCCTGTGTGTATGACTTAGCACTGAACTCCCGTCAGCTCTAGGAATGTTCTCATCCCCAGTGGGCAAAAGGGGAAAGGGAGAGGTGGGTGTGGAGGAACACGTATTATCCCAGCACTCTGGAAGGCTGAGGCAGGATGGCCAGCCTAGAGTACATAGTGAGTTCAAGGCCACCCCTGACCAGTGACTGTCTCACAAAACGTCCTAGAACAGGGTCGTGACTGGTCCAGGGCCACACCAAGCACAATCCTTAGGGCATTGTTTCTATTGTCTCCTTTACTTGAGGGACAGAACACTCTATCAGGAGGGTTTAAAGGAGGGCTTGGCCTCTTTCCAGCAAAATGTGACTTCTATCACCAAAATCTAGATGCTGTTGGCACCTACTTCACAAGGGTTGCTGGGAATATTTCTGTATTTCTGGCAGCACTGGCACGCAGTAGGTTGTAGTGAACACGTATTTCTGACCCTGGCAACTTCCAAGCCAGGAAGGGCGGCAACTCCATTCCCCACTTGGTGCAGGACCCATCGGCCCTGATACTTCAGGTTCAGCTTCTTAGTTTTTGACGACACTGTAATGAGTCCATTCCCGGGTGCCATGCGCATGTCCTGCCTGGAAAGGGAGCAGGACTGCCATGCAGAAGGGCACAAGGTCAAGCCCAACCTCGGCAGCCTTAGGTGGCAGTGTGAACTTTGGCACCACCCCTTTTGGGGTTTGGCGAGGCAGAGGCCCCTGGGTCCTGCCCCACCAACTCTCTAGGTGGGTCTCAGGCCTTGCCAATTTGGGGACACGACTGTCCAGGGACTCCTAGTCCCTCTACAGAGGGAAGCACTCCATCCTCATACCCACAAGGAACAGCCGATTAAGAGACCCAGACCAGGATTACGAACGAGGCTATTTATTCACCCAGCATCCTTTGTTCTAATGCTTCTTGTTGGCAGCTGCCACCTGGGGGAAAGACGGAGAAGTAAGATCAGCAGAGATTCTGCTCAGGTACACTGTGTGCAGTTAGCTACCCTCTACCCCCCTAACACCAAATGTCTTCATCTCATCCAACTTCTTACAACCATGGGCACCCCCAGGTTAGAGACTTAGAAACTAGGCTCCAGGAAATGAAACAGAATCCTGTGAGAAGGGCCACCCCTCACACTGACAGTCGTGCCGGTTCTGCTCTAAAAGAGGTCTTTTTTCCAGGTCACCCAATTACTGCCAGAAATAAATGTGGTTCAGACTGGCCTCAATCCTCCGGCCTGCCTCCCAGGATGCTGATCACACGCATCTACCTCCATGCTGGCTCCCCACCCGCCGTTCTTTGACAAAGGCCCCTAGGAGGTCCTGTTGTACTGTGGCCTGAGGAATCCTCACCACCACTCTTGAAGGTGGGAGTAGATCACACGTTCACAGGGAGACTGCAGGGAGGAAGTGACCCTGTTTGAGTGCAGGCCAGCCAGGATCCGGGCCGAGACCTGAACCAGAGTGCTGCTCCCACCTCAGCCTTTCCCATGTTGCCCTGCGTGGTGCCCAGCAGAAACAAGTAAGGAAATATCGTAGTCAGAACCCTAAGGCTGACCAGGGAGGAGGGGAGCAAGTGTGGGGTGCAGGTATGCACCCAGGAACATGCTGGGCCTAGGTTCCCTCTATGCCAGCACTCAAACTTCCAAGCTTCTCTGGCAGAAAATGTCAGAAATATTCTTTTCCCTGCCCTTGGGAAGCCTTCCCTGGGAGGAAGTAAGATCTACGTGACAAGCGGCTCTGGAAATGCCTACAGTGATCAAGGGACCTGGCTCAGGCCTGCACGGATGCCTCACCTGTCCGGCGATTCTGTCCAGATCTCTCTGTCCCTGAGGTGTCAGCTTGCGGCCCCTGCAGAAGGGAAGAGTTATGCAGTCCCCCGTGAGAACAGGCCTTGCAAGAAGGCTCCTGGCCGTGGGACCACATGACGCCAGCCACAGCCAAGTCATACTAGGGCTCCAGTCGGCTACATTCTAATGAGCTGGGGGAAGGAGCAGGAGCCCTCCTGGGAACTGACGGGGTGTCGTTTGTGCAAGCATTAGATCAAAAGCCCCGAAAAAATCAATTGGGAAAAGTTAACGAGCAGGCTAATGAAAGCGGACAGTCGCTAAATTACCTTCCCAGAGCCCGAGGAAGTCAGCCAGAGAGGTCGGGGTGAGGCTCTCACTGTTTGCGTTTCTGCTGAATCCCCTGCCTGCCTCTGAGGCCTGAGGGGCAGGGGCAGAGCATTTGGCAACCTGCTCCATCCACGGGAGCGGCACATGGCAGCTCCACTCTAGCTGATTGTGGGCAGGGCTGGCTCTCAACCTCCCACTGCTTACCCATCTTGGTCCTTTTCCACCATTTTCAGCCCCTCCAGGGCTTGGAGAACTCGGCGCGCCACACTCTTGGAGCCTCGGCTGAAGTGGCTGGGCATGACGCCATTCCTCTGACGTCCACCATAGATCTTGGTCATGGAGCCAACCCCTGCGCCACCCCGGAGGTACAGGTGCCGTGCTGTGGAAGCTGGAGGTGGGGGTGAGAGGGAGTCTGAGGACCCTTCTCAGGGAGATGAAGGTCACATATACAATGTGTCACCAAACAGCGAATCTTCACCATCGCATAAGGAAGGAAATGAAAAATACCAGGACCCAGTACCGACGTCCTTCTTGTCCTTCACCCCAGCTTGTCCATGGCTAAGCTGGTCAAACGCTCTGGGCAGGACTCTCCTTCTCCAGGGCCAAGGTTTTAGCTTTTACTGGGTAACAGTACCCCACTGAGATGGAGCTCAGCAAACATTTAAGAAAAGCAACAAAGATGGGTGGCAGTGCAGCACGTGTGTAATCCTGGCACTTAAGAGGATAAGGCAGGAGGATCACTGAAGAGAGTCTGAGGCCAGCCTGGACTCATAGTGAGACCCTGTCTCAAGAAAACTATACCCATTTCTACCTCCGTGTGCCTGAGACGCAGAGTGGTGAGAGGATCTACTCCTGAGTGCAGCTCCCTGGCCATGCCAGCAGGGTCGAGCTCAGGAAATGACACTACGTAGTGAAAGCGCCCAATGTGGAATGTGCGCTGCCCTCTGTGTGGACTTGGGGGTTCTCATCCCCGACAGGTTTGGGCAAGTTCTGCCCAGTCACCCCAGGAAAATACCTTTGCCAGGACAGCAAGCTCTAGTAAAAGCCAGTTGAGATACCGCCTTCTCCGATGTGCCATGGAGTGGGAGCCTGGCCACCTAACCTGAGCCCGGGGGTAGGAGTAAGCCCCCAGAGCCGGTCAGTAAAGACTCACTGGTATTTATCACATGCTGCTCTCCTTCCGAGAAAGGGAAACTGAGGCTCCAGACAGTACTCAATGGCCATGTCTCCCAGCCCTAGAGGGACTGCCTGCTCTGTCACTGAAGAGGCAGGGGCTGAACAGTGTTGTAACTGACTAGATGAGGTGGGAGGCCCCTCATCTTTCTGCCCCATCTTTCTTTCCCCCCCAATCTTTCTGCCAGGGGTGACACCACTGGAAGACACCCCTGAAGAGCAGTTCAAATGCCCAATGGCCATGGTTGGTTGGCTGGTCCATCCCACACCTTCACTGGACTGTCTTCAGGCTCTGGGTGCACTGGGGCAAAGAGGCCAGCTGCTCGAAGACACGACCCACAGAAGCCCAGCTGGGACTGCTCACCAGGACACAGCGGGTGGCCTTGGCTCACCGGGACAGGGTCCAGAGCTGCCAGGCCTCCAGGTGGTGTGCGAAGCAGCACTAAAGGTGACTGGTGACGAGTGGAGCAAGATCAAACAAAGCCTACAGGACCCTTCGGTGGGGGTTTACATTTTCTCAGAGCTGTATAAAACCATACAGCATGGAGACCGATCTCGGTCAGATCACAAAGTCCTGCCTGGCCACCTGGGTCAGGTCATTTATCTGACCCACAAGAACGGCATTTATTTTATAAACTGGAAGCTGTAAAAACTAAAATTGTGAATTCTGTGTAACTGACCTCTTTTCTACCCCCTCAACATTTGTTCTAAGCACACAAATTCAGGCCACCCCAGCTGGAATTTAAGAGGGCTGACGAACCAAGTCCTGCCACAAACAGCTTCTCAGCTTCCCCACAGGCCCTTGTGCCTTCCCTGTGTCTTCCGGAGTGATAGCCCATTTCTTAAAAAACAAAACCAAACCAAACCTATACAAGTCACTGTGCTTGAGCTCACAGGGGGACCAAGATTTCTCGGGTCACAGCAACTTGGCACCTCAAGAGTGTGGGCCAAGAGGAGACAGACGGCCCCATTCCGACTTAAGTAAAAAAGTAGAGGATACTCCCACCGTGGTCTGCCCTGATCCTGCCAAACTGCTAAGAAACATCTTTTTTGACCCTTATTCACCCTGTGTTGGCTGGGCCTCATTTTATCCAGTACCATAGCACGAGCGGGTTGCTAGCCCTGCACAGAGGTGAGATGGACCAAGTTCCACCTAATGAGCAATCAGAAGCCCCCAATGAACACCACACTGCACTCTTCTCTTATTCCTAAGCAGTCCCTTCTGAGAAACAAGTCAAAGAGTCCAAACACGGCAACACCTCACCCCTTCACAAAAACTCTCCCTTGAGCAGGACTGAGCCCTCCTCCAGAGGTCTCCACTCTCCTGAAGTATTAGCCCTACCTCACCACCTTGGGACTTATCCTGTGGCCCTGCCTCTCGTCCAGATCACCGCTTGAGGGTCTTGCCCTCTCCATGAGCTGCATTTTTCATGCTCCAAGACCAACATCTGTCTGCTGGCCCACAGGTACTCTTGGAGGGTACCCAGCCTCAAACCCTTAGGGGCCAAAACAGGCAGCCCAGCGCCTGTCATCCGGAGAAGAAATGATCAAATACAGCCACATGACAGAAACTGCCAACACCACTGCAGCCACATGAAGCCACATCACTTCGCCACGCTGTACCTCAGCTTCCTGTCAGAGGGGTTAATCCTATAACCTGAGTATAGGCCAGTGACGGTGAACTTCCAGAGCTCTCAATGACACCAACTGTCCATGCTGCACACATGCCATAGGTTTACCGACACTGCCATTGGCTGAGCTGGGTATAAGAACACTAGATTTTAAGAGCATTGGCAAGTACCTTCTATAGAGGATCAGAAGGTAAATATTCTATCTGTCACAACTACCCTGCACCTGCTGTGTGGTGGTGTCAACAACCTGGAGTAGCAGCATCCCAACAAAAACATGAACCTTGGGCCTAGAATCTAATGCTCTTAGGCCGCAGCAGAGTGGCTGGGAAAGCAAGGCCCAGCAGAGAGCATCAGGTGATGAGATCAGTAGCAAGTAGAAAGTGCATACCCACTGTGAGATGTCTGGGAAGGGTGTAGTGGGCAAGAAAGGGTCACAGCAACTGTAACATGACCAGCAGGCTCACCTAGGCTTATTACCCAGGGCTGTGATCAGCATCACTGGCTGTCTGGCCCTGGACATGTTACTTAAAATCTCCCTGACATCAGCTGTGAAATCAGACAAAACCGATCACAATTTAGGTTTTTTGCATGTTACACAGAATGTGTATTCACACCACCCAAGGGAAAAAGTTATTTAGACTACTTCCTTCTAATCCTAAATCCAAAGCAGCCATGACCTGCCAACTCTTTGAACATTACCAAAGAGCACTCAAGACCAAGCAGCCTTGCTTTCCAGGTATGTGGAGGGTGGAGGGCTGTGTCTCACTCAGGACTTGGGTGGCCAGGGATGTCAGCATCTCTTCCTGTTTTCTAAAAACACAGTGGTGTGTGGATGAATATGCAGCCCACCCTGCCTGCCTCAGCATTCAGCTTCTGGACCCCAGAGGTCAGAGGCTGGGGTGAGTCTATACTGTGCCCACGTGCCCAGTCCAAAGAGTGAAACAAATTGGGCCTCAATGACATTTGATGCCCAAGTGCATGCCAACTTGTACAAGGCCCAAGGTGAAGTCATCTTGGGGTTACTGTTATAATTCACTTAATCTGCTTTCTTCCTATTAACTTATGAGACCTGGCCAGGCTAGAGTTACCATTTCATAAAGGGAAAAGACTGAAGATTTGGAAGTTAAGGCACTTTAGTAAAGGCCCATTCAGAGGCTACCACTCCAGCAGACTCCAGCACTCCCCAATCCCGTTAGGTCTCTATAAAGATGACAACTTACAGAACCTTGAAATGTTAAGAAAGACAAGAACTGACACTGTGCAGTCAGCGAATGTATTCAAAATACAACTAGAAAATTAAAACAGAGGGGGCTGCTACAGGGCAACCATAGGGCAACCACAAAATCTGCAAGTTTTCTTTGGGACACTTGGGAATCTTGTCAAGATTTAGAGCAGGGAGCAATGTGCCTAGATCCCCGGCTATCTAGTTAGAAATACCTTACTAGATCTGAGGAAGAGCTAGCTAGCATTGTGACCTGAACAAAAGCAAACATATAGCTGACTTTCCTTGAGTTACTATGCAACAGACAGGCAAACTTGTAAGTATTTTCCTCCCAATAATCCTGTATTGATACAATCATTAGCTTCACTGAAGTGAACAAAGGTTAAATGTACCTGAAATCACTGTTAAACGGTAGGAATTAATTTGAACTCTGTCTGACCCGCATGGACATTAAGAACAAATGTGGCCTCTCTAAAGTGAGCACCTCTAAACAAAACTACCAACAATCATCTGTCTCCAGACTCCTCGAAGCCACAACTAAAATACGGCGCATGCAACCACAAGGTGACAGAAAGCGGTCTCTTCCTATCACAGTTTGGGGACGAGGGCAAGAAAGGGATCCATCCACATTCGGGCCCTGCTACCCGCAACCCGTGGCCCAGTTCCTCACCAGCTCGCGTGTAGAACCAGTTCTCATCGTAGGGAGCAAGCTCTTTATGCTTGGCCAGCTTGACTGTGTCCACCCATTCGGGAACTTTCAGCTTCCCGGACCTAGGACCAAGACAATGAGAAAAGCACAATTCGTCAACGTCCACAAACTCCCTTCCCCAGCCCCCGTCCACTTTGAGCCTCAACCCGTACACTCACTTTTTGAGGAAGGCTGCCAGAGCTCTGACGAACTCCTGCTGGTTTACGTCTTTTACAGTAACTCCAGGCATCTGCAACAGAAGGTCACGCACGTGAGCACCGAGCCTGCTGAAGACGAGCGACAAGGACCCTGGCCGAAGAGCACTCGCGCTCCTGCGGCGCGCTAAACCGCAGCGCCCGCGCTCTCCCCGGGCGCGTTTCACCCCGGGTCCCGGTCCCGCGCAGCTCCCTGGCGCCCATGGTCTCTGGAGGGTGGACCGACTAGTCCAACCCCCGCCGGGAGGCCTCTCGGGGCCCTTCCCCGCATCACCGCGCCTCTGCGCGCCCCAGGCACCTTCCGTTCCCCAGCAGACCCTCTCGGTTCCCAGACCACGCCGATCGGGCATGTCCAGGCCTGCCGCTCGCACGTGGCGGCCGCCCCAGGGGGCGGGGCGGCACCACGCCGGACGCCCCGGGACCCTCAAACACGCGTCCCGGAGCTGAGGAGTCCAATCCTGACGCCCTGCGCCCAATCTGAACCGGAGCTCACGCTTACCGTGCGGCCTCCGCGCTGCCAGCCAGGGGAAAGGGAACGACGGGGTTTCCCGGGCGCACAAGTCGGGCGTAGAGTCTCGCGGGAGTTCCAAGTTCTCGCGAGATCGGGGCTAGTGCTAGGGTAGCTCCGCCTTTCTCAGGGCGAATGGAGTTTTGTCTCCGCCTACATGGGAAGGGCGTGAGGTTGCACACTCCTGTGTTTACTCGCCCGCTTTCTTTCCTTGGAGGGTGGCGTGATAGAGGGGAGAGTTCCTTTCTGGAGTTGGGTGGGAAACCTGGCTTCCTTTGTGTTGTTCAAGGCCGGCAAAGAGAGCGGAGGAGATCACTATGAGGGCGGAAATATGGGGCAAGTTGGGCAGGAAGCAGGCCACCTTTTTTCCGGATGGAAGTGGTTTTTGTCTTGCCGGAAGTAGGAAGAGTAAGGGCGGAATTGTGATGGGAACCTAGGGGAAGGGCAAGGAAGAACCATGGCCACCACCTTCCCCTTTTTCATCAGTAATCGCGAGAGCAGGAGGCAGTGGAAGCCCCACCCTTCTTAGGGCGGAAATTGCTTCAGTTCGTCTGAGACGACTCGAGTGGAATGAGGAGTTGCAGGCGGGAAGGGGCAAAGGCAGAGGCGGGACTTTGTAGGATTAGTTCATTTTTATCTCCTGGTGCAGCAATCTATTCAGCATGTAGGCTTTCTCCTTTTAGCTTTGTCGGCTTCTCAGGCTGTATTTACAACCTCTGGCTTTAGTCTCGTCACTTAAAAAAAAAAATGTCAGCTGTGGTGATGCACGCCTGTAATCCATGCACTGGGGAGGCTGAGGCAGGAGGAGTGCCACGAGTTCGAGACCAGCCTGGGCTATAATAATGAATTTAAAGCCAGCCTAAACTACAGTGAGACCCTCAACCAATCAACAAAAAAAATCACACCAAGATCCCAACTGTTTTCCTATTTTAAGTGACTGCTCTTGTATGGTGTACCACATATTCTAGCCAGGGGCAGTTAAACATTTGGCTGTTACTGGTTCTATAGCATTATTACATGCATGATATGAGGCCCACAACAATGAATATGAAGGACACCTTTATGGTTTTATAAAATTACTAACTTGCTACAGAAAAGAAATACTTTGTGTGTGTTTTTAATATTGAAAAGACTAAGAGTTTAAAACATCAGTACAAACAATACAAAAAATTTCCACATTGAAACCAGGTGTGCTGCCACATGCTGGTAATCCCAGCACTCAGGAGGCCAAGGCAGGAAGACTTCAAGTTTAAGGTCAGCCTTTGCTACATAGCAACACTGTCTCAAAAAAACCAAAAATTTTCCACATTGAGATATTGTATGTACAAAACGTTTTAAATATGAGTCAATATGTTATATAAGTTTACAAACCAATATGTTTAATAACTATTAAAAATGAAAACCTTGGGTTTAGGGATGTAGCCCAGTGGTAGAGCAGTTGTTTAGTTAGCGTGAGTGCATCCCACTGTCGGCTCAGTCTCCAGCACTGCAACAAACAACAACAGCAATGCTTCTAGTATGAGAAAAGCATGTGTTTAAGACAAGGTTTTATTCAGCAGAATACTGTTGAAATGTGTCTCACATAGTTTTTACTGAGCAGTACGGGATTCTTTACCTGCTCTAATTTGCAAAATGGGCTGGTTCACCCGTCCTTAGGCCACCTGGTGGTTCTTGCTCCACAGAGGTCACTGCTCTGATTACAAACCTCGTGTGACCACCTGATGAACATAGGGCACCGCAGTCCAGAACTCCTGGACTCAAGTGACCCTCCTGCTTTACCCTCCCTGTAGCGGGGACTACAGGTGGGAGTGGTGCCCAGCTCATACTGATTTTAAAACATGAGAATATTTTTAGTATCTTGTCTTTTTTTGCCCTCAAGATCAACACATGGAGAAAAAAAAGAAGAAAAAAAGAACACCTGTTGAACACTTGAATATGCATCTATATGCATGTTTAACTGGAAATTCCATTTACTTGGGTAATTTATATTCACTTTTTAAACATTTTTGATGTACATTTCTAATAATCAGTACTGAATCATTTAAGCTTGGTTTATTTTGGTCAACTCAGGAAATAACTTTCTTTTTTCTCGCTTTCTTTCACTACTGAAATAAACTGAAGCCCTTGTATAGTCTAGGCAAATGTAATGCCACTGAGCTGTACCCTAGCTCCACTAAATAATTATTCGTTTAAAAAGAGGACTCTCCAATTACTGTGCAACACCATGCAGGATTTTGGAAAGGGTGAAACTTAGGTAACATTTATATTATGCAGAGTTTGATGGACTTAGGTAAAACAAGCCTGGCTGAGAAGTGCTCCAGGTGCTGTTTCCTTGGAAATACAGGGTTTAGATGAATGACCTGTCTCTGGAAGGCCTTCCTTTGAAGTTCTCATCCCGGGTGGAAATCATGACTGTTGCTTTGTGTCCAAGTAATTTGGACCATGCTTTTAAAGAACAAAATTTCTGATAGTCTCTAATTTTAGAGAAGATGGCTTTTCAGCACTGTTCTCTTGGTGTTAATTTTTAGAGCTGTTAAATTTTGCAGGTGTATAAGCAACAACCCTGTGAGGTAGTTATAGACTGCGCGATTTGAGGCTTAGTGAGTCCAAGTCAAATCACTTAAGTGTCCAAAGCCACATAAAGGTAAAGGTTGAGCTGAGATTTAAACCCATACTTCATGTACTGCTTTTAAATTTTTTCAGTAAACTAAAACAGAGATTTAGAAAAGCGTTTGAAGGCCCTGGATGTAGCTCTGTGATATTATCTTTTTTTTTTTGGTACCAGGAATTGAACTCAGAACCTTGTGCTTGCCAGGCAGGCACTTATGCCACTGAGCTATATCCTCAAACCAGTAGCTCTGTGATAGAATGCTTGCCTAGCATGCACAAGGCCTAAGTTTGATTTCCAGCACTGAGAAGAAAAAAATAAAAGGTTTGAGGTTGTAGTACATCTAGACAATGGAATATTATTCAGTACTAAAGGAAATGAGTTATCAAGCTATGAAAAGACACTAGAAACCTTGAAAAAAAATATATGAAAGGGCCAAGGATATAGCTCAGTGGCACAAGTGCCTGTCTGGAAAGTGAAAGGTCCTGAGTTAGATTCTTGGTAGCAAATATGTATATATGTTTTAAGCGAACCTGAAGGAATACACTTTGATTTCAACTGTCAGGATACAGTCAGGATATATAACATCCTGAAAAAGACAAAATTTGAGATAGTAGCAAGATCAATTGTTGCAAGGTTTGGGGTGGGAATGAATAGGTGTTGTCCAGAGCAGTTTCAGGACAGTGAAACTATTCTCTATGATTCTGTAATGGTGGATACCCATTATGTGTTTGTCAAAAAATCTTAGAATGTACTATATTAGAGTGAGCCCTAATAGAAAGGATGGACATTGTGTGAGTGTTGTGTCATTGTAGATTGATTGTAACAAATGCACCACTTTGGTGTAGTGTGATGCTAGATGAGAAGTGTGTGTGTGTAGGGTAGTATCTGGGAGCATTACTTTCTGCCTGATTTTGCTATGACTCTGAAACTGATCTAAATAATAAACCACATTAAAAGAACGTGCTGGACATGGGGATGTGTGCCTGTCATCCCAGCACTTTGAAAGGGTAAGTTTGAACCCAGCCTGGAAGACTCAATGGGGCTTAACAGAGACACTGAGTTAGATGAAAGAATTTTTTTTAATGGTACTAAGGACTGAACCCAGAACATTCACACTGGGTTACATTGCCAGCCCCATATATATTTAATTTGGAGACAAAGCCTTGCTAAGTTGCCTGTGATGGACTTAACCTGTAATCCTCCCTCCTCAACCTCCTAGAATGAGCCATGTACCTGGCTAGAAAGATGAATCTTGCTTTTGGGAAGGGCTTAGCAGGGTATGAATTATAGGACTGTGCTTATGTGAACATGTGTCAGGGGCTACAAAGCTAGCTACACAAGTCTGTACAATGAGCCTACATAAGCCAGGAATGAGGGTTTGAGTGTAGTGTGGATGGGGATAGGTGGTATGACATGGTTTCTTACGCTGTACTAGAAGTGAAAGGAACGTGGGTTATCAAAGGGGACAATGCCAAGAGACTTTGGTCATCCTTAGGTCATTCATAGGGCTGAAGCGAAAGAAATGTGGGTTATCAAAGGGGACAATGCCAAATGTGCTCCTGAAATAACATGTGGGTGGTTGTGGGGAGAAGTCTTGTGAGGAGAGAGAGGAGCAGGATGGTGCTTTCTTATTTGTAATTTGTAATTTCTGCAGAGTGTTAACAGGGTACATGAAAAAAGCTTGGCAAGATTCTAGGGCAATACTAGAGCAACAGCTTTGCCTATTCTGCAATGTGAAGTGGGAAAGGGGTGCCATAGGAAACAGTGCTCATAGTCCACTGGCTGAAGTCCTTGAGGGCTGGTCAGAGGTCAGGAGCCTATTGGTTCCTTATAGCTGCAGGTGAAGAGTGCTGTACTCAAAGGAAGTAGCAATGTGGTAGCGTGAGCAATTATTATACTGGCCCTTTATATATATATATATATATATATATATATATATATATATATATTTTTTTTTTGGACACAAGGTTTCACTATGAAGTTCAGGGTGAACTTGAACTTGTGGTGATCAACCCTCCTGCTTCAGCATCCTGAGTGCTGGGATTATAGGCATGTGGCATTATACTCTCTATGTCCTTAAGGCTGACTTCTGCACCAATCCCTTAGGCACCAATGGGGAGGTCCTAACAATTTGAAAGATAAGTTGGCCAAACTAATGAAAAAAAGCCTTGCAACATCTGACACTGAATGGGAAGTAGGCTCCAGAGAACCCAAAAGGCTTGCTCTCTGCTCCCCCCATCATTCCATCATTTTCTCTTTCCCCACTTCTCATGCCATTTTTTTTATTTCCAAATTATACTTCTCTTATACCCTCCCTAGCTGTGTGATCTTGGGTGAACCTGAGACTTTGGTCATCCTTAGGTAGCAGAATCTTAGCTACACTCCATGCTGTGATGCTTCCGCGCTCTATGATTGTGTGGGATTGGTCATCTGTCAGGAGGAGAGCATGGCACAGGCAGGTCTATTAAGGGACAATCATATAT